AGGCCAAAAAAAAAAACAAAAAAAAATGCCTCATCCAAAATAAACAAGAGTTTTTCAAAATTAACATGTTTCCATTCAGCCAATTTATTTTCAAAAATGATGTGGTCAGTGGAAACACAGCTACTGTAATTAACAGTTTTTGCACTTTTTTCTTCCCAATGTTTGCTGCTTGTCTTCCAGAAGTAAAAGCTATTATGTTTAATTATGCTTTCCATCCTTTTAAAACAGGAAACTACAAAAAACTATAAGCTGAAATAACTTCTTTTCAGGTTTTCTACTCCTCTGAATTAGAAATAATTTCATAATATAATAATTTTATTAAAAAAATCAGATTTTCCACAGTGAATAAACACTGCAGAGCAAACATGACCGAAAAATCAAAAGTATTTAAACGTTTAAATGTGATTATAAGAGTGAAAAATGGCATGTTTGGAGCTGAACAGCAGCTTTGTGGTGAAGTTCTGTTGGAGAGCCATTACTCCGCAGTCTCTTGACCCGACAGATTAGATCTGGGGTCAAAGGTCAGCATGTTTGAAGAGTCTCTGGAGTGTTTAAAGGGCCATTTCAGCTCGTGGAGGACTGAGCGAGGAAGCTGCTGCTGCACCTGCGGAGGTCTGAGCAGGTGATGAAAACTCGGCCTGCTGCAGCTTATTGACGCTGTTTGCACCCCGTAATTCAAGTCCATCTACATACATTTCCCTCATGCGTGTTTGCATAATGTCTGAGGCATATTTATGCAAATTGCTGCTTTTATGTGCCAGGACTTTAAGTGCACATGTTGGCATCTCAAGACTTTAAAAATGAAGCATCAGCCATTTTTAATATTTTATTTCTTGTAGCATTAGATGCAAGCTTCGGCCCAGTCAAAGTTACATGACTACGCTCCTTCAGACAGCAGCCATAGGCGGCGCGTGTGGGTGGGACGTACGACCCAGGATGGTGCTTCCACTGCCGCTTTACAGTAAATACACAAACAAACCAGATGATCTCAACTCCAACAAAGAAACTCAAATAAACTCTGAACCCGACACGAAGCAGCAGAAGATAAAGCTTCAACACGTTCTCTAAGACACAAAATATCACCAAGTATTTTTAATCTAGTTTCTAGTTTAATATACTTGAAATAAGAAAAAATGTTATTACTTACAAATGTTCATCTATAAATCATTAATAACTGTTTATTGTGAGAAGGATGCTAAAAAACTATGTTTGAAAATGTTTACTGTGCAGTGGCAGAATGAAGTGATTAATAACGGTCATCCAGGTTTGAGTTAATATTTCAATTCATTTGAAATTAATAAATAAATCGTCCAGATTTAAAGAAACTCAGTGTTTATTGTATCCTGGAAATGTTGTTCAGGTGACAGAAGGCCGACTTTGTAACCGTCTGTATGTGTTTCTGAAGGTTCAGATTTCAGTCTGATCTCTAGTTTCTCTCTGTAATAACTGAAGCTGTGCGTTGACTCTACATTATTTCTCTTTAGATTAAAAGATTATAACTTTATATCTGACTATAATTATTGAAATAAAAGAAAGTCCTTTCAATTCAGGCAGTCGATGTATTTAAATAACATACTGAGCTGATGTGGTTAAAACACATATTCAAACGTGTCAAAATAAAAAATATTAAGACAATAATCTGTCATATCAATGCCGACTAGGGTAGGTATATAACACCAAAACAAATGGACCGAGTATCGACCCTTGGGGAACTCCATAATTTAAAGAAATTGTTAAGGAAGCTTTTTACAGAACAAAACATTTAAATGGCCAGATGGATGGATGAACACATGAATAATAAGAACACACCAACATTACAAGTCCTGAATTTGAAAATTATTAGAAAACCTTTAAAAATGTTAAAACTGTGTCATTAATTTTATGTATTAGGATGAAAATGGCAAGAAAACGAAACTGAAAGAAAATGTTAAATAAGCTCATTTGCTGTAGACAGTAACTAGATATTTTCTTATTACTGAAAATCATATGTAAATATATTTTTAAATTGCATAGAAAAGACAGAGGCTTTTAATTTAAAGGTAGAACTGTATTTCTAATTCTCATTTAAACAAATGACTTGCTGTATATTTCTACATGATCTTCTATAATCTGGTAACTTTTTAAAAATGTTTGTCTGTAATCCAGCAGAAATGTTGCATTTTCAGACAGAAATGTAATTAAGCATAAGATCCTACAGATGAACTGGTGAATCCATAGAAAGGGAGAGTGAAGTGAGGATGTCAGTGTATCAGGGATACACTGGTAAAGTTCAAAGTTCAAAAGGTTCATAAAGACTGCCTCCAATCAGGAATCAGAAAAGCAAACTGCTGATATAAACATGGATCAGTGAAAACCTCTGCGCCCCGCTCTGCGTTTCATTTTACTCCTGCTCTCTCTCAATCTTTCACTAACAGCCAAGGATGTTGGACCTCAGCCCAGCATGTAAATTAATCCAACAATTTCCATCAGGAGCCATTCAGACTCTGGAGCAGGATAATTTGACAGCAGCCCAGTCGGAAAATGGCCAGAGACGCAGCGACGTTTGATTCATTTAGTATTTCTACTCTCTTTGGGTTGATGTCGTCTCAGACAAAAGCTGCAGCTGGATGGAAGAGGAGGCTGGAAATGGCAGATCAGGACGGAAACGCTACGACTCCGACAGGATGACAAACATTTAGTTCCTTAAACGTTCAGGCTACTTCCTGTTGGGGCCCGACAACAAATCAATATCCATATCGATCGATAATACACCCGATTCAATATTCAACATATAGAACATTCACTGAAATCCAATCCACAACTGCAAGGCATTCTGGGAAATGTAGCTTCCAAGCTAAGCTAAGATGGTGGAATCAACTAACTCATTCGTTCTCTGGTTGCCTAGCAACAAACTGCTGGGTAACAGGCAGTTTAAAGATCCAAACAACAGCTACAAACCTCGTCTGGGTTCGGTTGGAGTGAACTCTGGTTCAATTCGAATTCATATGTGAACACCAAGCGAACTGGAGACCACATCAAAAGCAGGAAGTGGACTACAGCGCAGGGCATTCTGGGTAAATACAGCCATAACAGACACATTAGCTTAGCGCTAGCAGGAGAAATCCTCCAACCGCTAAAATCTGAGAGAAAACTTTCTCTCACCAAACAATCCCTGTACAACTTATTTACTAAACCGGTGTCAGATGTAACACCATGAGGCGTCCATAAGTGTTTTACTGAGCAGATCTAATTTTCCACAATTATCCTCCAGCTTTCATCTCATCTGAAACTCAAACCTTTTTGATCTGGAGAAGATCTGATGAATTCATTTCACTTATTCATGAATAATCCGCAGCACCTTGTAGCATAGCATTTTCACCATGTGTGAATCATGGCACCATGTGTGAATTAAGGCACTTTGATAAGCCTTAATTATTATATGTTGGTGACAAAAATAAACAGGAATCCACAACATCAGACCGCACATTTCCAACAGCTTGCACTGGAATAAATCTTATGCATTTTCTAAATTGGCGGTCATCAAAGTGGAGCAAACACTTGAAGACTTTCTGTTTAATATTCCAGCAGCAGAATCAAAATGCAGCATCTGTACGTCTTAATTATCAGCAGCACTTTAGCATGAATGCATATGCTCCACGAGAAATGAGCAGAAAACGAGAGCAGATTCAAAACAAAGCTTTCACCAAAGTCCTAATAACACCTGCTGCTATGATCTGCAAAATATCATCCTTGCATTTAAAATTAATTACAGTTAGTTTGTAAAGTTGGGAATAAGTGGCCAAGTTATGTGAGAAATGTAAAAATATTCCTCACAGATGTTGTTTATGAGGATGATGGACACATCAATCAATGCTTTTCTGTATTTTAAATTTGAATAATTGCACATAAATACATACAGAGATGATGCAGTTATATCAAAACTTTTCTAGAAAAAGAGAAATATACGTATAAATATATATTTTTCTCTTTGTTTATTCATCTCAGGTATTAGAATCAGACAATCGATTCTAATACCTGAACAAACTATGAAATGCTTTTAAATCATCTGGAGGCTAAAACTGGTTTTAATTGGACGTATTGAAGTGAGATGTTAATAATTTAATACATTTGGACAAACTGATTACATATTATTTAATTTTCCTACGGGATCAATACAATATTTTTGAATTTGAATACATTTCAATAGAATGTGCTAAAGTATGGCGTAAATTCAGGAGCAGAATCCTGTTATAACAAAGTTATAACAATGTTATAACAAAGTTATAACATTGTTATAACAAAGTTATAACATTGTTATAACAAAGTTATAGCAATGTATACAACTCATTAAAACGAGAATGTTTCTCAAAACAAAACTTTAAACTGTTTAAAACAAGAAACTATCATTACAGTGAGATAAACTTAAGATGAAGAAACAAAACTGGATGGAATTTAAAAATTGAGTCTATGTGTTTGGCATGAACTGGAAAAAACGAGGTCAGAATTTGATTCTGTTTTTTGAAAGTGGAGCAAATATTTTTACTTTAGCAGATTAAAATATAATAGAAACAAATTTAATTCAAACTAAACATGACAAAAATGATTTGAACGGCTGTTAATGAATTAATTTTCGTTCATTGGGAGAAAATTAACTGGAGTGAAATCCAAGTTTAAAACAAATGATCTAAAACTAAAGAACTTTAATTTTATTTGAATGAATTTGGTCTTAGCTTCTTCACTCTAAAGTAAATCTAACTACAGTAAATGTTGATTTTTCAGCACCTTTACGTTGTTTTCTAACAGGTTCTGATGAAGAAGCTTCTTAAAAGCTGCAGCGTGACTCTGTGGTGGTTTGTTGCCATTCAGGACAAAGTTAAAGTGATGAACGCCCGTCATCATCCCCAGATCGCTCTTCAGTTCTTGCTCCAGTTGAGACGTTTTCACCCACAGCGAAGCAGCAACAGAGGCCGCCTTCTCGCCCGCTGAGCGCCGATAAAAGACACATTTAAAGTCTCACTGACCTGATGGCAGTGTGGGTTGGACTCCCTGCCGTACGGGTAAGAACTCCTCTCCGATTTACCTGCAAGAGAAAAACACAACACAGTTTATAGTCATTCATTTCACACTCCGTTTCATTTCTCTCTGCTGTGTCGAAAGAGGCGAAACTTACATTAGAAATCAAACATTTACCAATTTAATCTTCATATAAACAGAACAAATCTCGGACATTCATCGGGGTTAGCGCAAAAGTTACGAGCAAATACTTGAGACGGCCTCTAAAAATGCTTAATGTGACTCAGTTTAGTTGTTTAAACACAAATTATACCTAAATATGCTTTAATACGCAGTGGAAACCGTCTCGGTGGTTCAGCCAATCAGCACCAAGGAAGACCAACGACGCTCCTGGATTGGCTGGTTTGCAAACGCTAGCTAGCATTGAGCCGAGCTATCTCAGCTTCCCAAACTGGATTTTATTTTAAATATTTTAGATCTATGATGAGATCTGCAAATAGACGGATATTCTGCAAATTATTATTCAGAATTTACAGATTCTGAACCGCGAATAGGCGAGAATTTCCATTACAGTCCTGAACTTCCATGACTTGTATCAAACTTAAATAACATTACAGAGTACGTTTCTGTGAAATGGTACTTTTAAGGGTTTAAAGTTTACATCAATGAACAAAGAAATTCCCCAAACTTTATGATTATCTTCCTGGAACCTACAGATTACTTTCCTAAAACTTACAAGTTACTTTCTAGGACTTCTGGATTAATTTCAGAAACTTCCAGGTTACATTATAAGGTAACCTGGAGCCGTACTTTAAAGAACAAACATGATACTTGCTGGAACTTACAGGGAACTCTCCAGAATATAGATACTATTTCTCATGAATTAACTCTTAATTGCCTTTCTGAAACTTAAAGATTCCTGACAGGAACTTAGGAAGTATTTTCCTCAAACTTGCAGGTTACTTTCCAAAACTTGAAGGTTGATTTCCTGAATTATAGGTTGTATTTCAAACACTAATTTTACAGAATATATTTGGTACTTCACAGAATTTACAGGGACCAGAAACTAAAGTTACTTTCCTTGGACTTACTATTTTTATTTAACTTTCATCTTCCTGTCAGGACTTTCTGGAACTACGATAAAACTGGGCGGCATTACTCGGTGAATACCTGGTATTTTATCGAACATACAGCTTGTTTAACAAACTTTATGAGTTACTTTCACAACTTTATAAGGTCATTTTCCAGGTACACTAACAAGCGAGAATTTACAGATTAGTTTCTAAACGTCACTTGTCAAAACGTCGAGTGGTCAATGATGAAGTAAAATATCTATAAAATGTTTAGTTTTTGACTTCAAGTTGTTGTTTCACCAGTTATTTTCCCAATTCTGTGATTTTACACCAAACCACTTGTACTACTTTCTAAAACCTTCATTTCTAAAATGTACAAAACTTTCTGCCATTTTCTAGAACGTAAATTCTTTCCCAATACATTCCAGGTTCTTTTCACCAAACGTGAAGATTTGTTTTCAGGAAACGGAGAGATAAATATATGTTTTAATTTAAAACTTTCTTCTTGGTAATCTCTGAGCCTCAGTGAAACTTAAAGGTTATTTTTCTGGAGCATACATCATCTAAACTTTCTCTTATAAAAATAGACAGTGCAGTTTAATAATGAAGCAGTGTGTGTGTTAATGGGTTTGTTTCACCAGCGACATAAGAACTGAATAAAGTAATCCCGTTGCACCAGCTTTCAGAAGTTATTACAGTCAAAGCCAGTTCTGATCAGAGCGTTCATGTTTTCTGTTCCCTGATCTCACAGAAAAATTAAAAACACACATCTGCTCTGCCTGGAAAGCGTAGATCCACACAGAAAGCAAAGACAGTTTCCTTTTGGGTTTGCACCAAACATCGACGCCATTTTGGACCCTCTGACTTCATCTCCTCTGTTGAATAAAGCGAGGACTATAAACACATCTTCAACTTTGAAGCCTTTTTATTCATAATACCACTGTTTCTTCTTCTCTGAGCCTCACTGGACAAACATTTGTCTTCAGAGACTCATTAGCGCGTCGGCTAAGCAACCGTCACAAACCAAATCCAGAAAATAGCCAACTCTCGAAGAATACGCTCAACTGAGACTGTTGTTTCCTTCACTCCACTTAAGAGCTTCAGCTTTTCCACTTGAGGTTTCACATTCCTTAAAACCTCAGCTGATAAGAAGAGTTAGAGACAATAAATCAGGGATGTCAGGGATGGATATCAGGGATATCCAGATGATGGATGTCCTTAAAGGGCCGGCTGCTGTAAAATGTATCGATAAAAACCAGTAAAATATGAATAGTCGCCTCTGCACCCGATGAGTACTTCTTAATGTTAATACTGAACATCATTAATTGGTAATTTGGCAGAATATGTATGAAAACTGTGGAAGAAGAAAAAAAATTTAATCAAAAGTCAAAATTCTGAGAAAAAAGTCAGAATTTCAGATTTTTTTTCTCTAATCTTCTCCCGTTGAAAACTCATTTCATTTGATTGATCAAAACGGTTATTTTCCAGGTTATATTTACGTGTCCCTCTGGGCCACATGAAGCTTTACAGCGGGCCGGATTTGGTCCGCGGGCCTCGAGTTTGACGTGTGCACTAAATGAACAGAGCTAGGCGCCATTTTTGGCTGAACTTCATGCGTTGTGTTCTGGGCCGTTTGTGGAGGCAAACGGCCCAGAGAGGAAACGCAGAGATCCCTCCCACGTGACAAACGATGGAATTCAAACCGTTGATTCATGACGGTTTTGGTCGTCTTATTATATCCCGACCAGAACCAAACCCCAGTGGGACTGCAGAGGACTTCACTCCTGGAAAACATGGAGTCTTGTGGGTTTTTGTGGCCTTTTAAGTCATGAAATTGGGTTAGCTTTCTGTTTTACAATACTATACTGCAAAAACGGAAACTCTTACCAAGTGTTTTTATTGCAAATATATTAGCATACTTGAAATAAGACAAAACTAACTTAAAAGTAATTTTTTAGCAAGATATAGGAGCTTGTTTTAATTAATATTGATTTTAAAAAAGAGCTAGTCCCTGTGGCAGGGTCTTTAATTTATAATAAAGTTTTTCCATAAGTGAAATAATATCCCAGTGGAAAGTTTTGTTTCCTCATTCCAGTTGGGGGCCGAAAAAAAGTCAGTCTGAGGGCAACAAATGGCCCCCGAGCCGCACTTTGGAAACACTGTTTTCTCTTTTCCATATTTTCTTTTGTTGTTTTTTCCAGCATCTCAGTTTAATTCAACTCAGTCTTTTTTACAGGGATGATACATAAAAACATTATTACATTGAGACCTTTGCAGACGATGTGCAGCTGATCCACGTTTCATCGCTGCGCCGAAAATCTTTGGTGTGATTAAAATCAGACGTCCAGAACCTTTAGAAGCAGGCCAGAGCTTGATGAGCGTGTGACGAGAGGAACTTTTATTTTTAAACCCCAAACCGAACGAACGCGTCGCTGTGAAAAAGGTGTCTGATGAATTCAGAAAACACACCGGCTGCCGTTGTGTGTAGACAACAAAGCTAATTTCCTCTGCGGCTCCTGAACAGGCTTCCCCTCCTCTCTGAGCCGCGGGACCGCTTCGATTACTATTTTTACCACGCAGACCTTCTTTTTTGGATAAAAAAAACCTTAAATCTGCAGCCAGTCTAAATATCAAACCGCAGTTAGTGTGTAATTACGTTCTGCTGTCGGTGCGGATGAAATGGATGAAGCGTGTTGCAGGGCTGGAATCAGGCGTGTATAGACCAGCGCTGAATGCATGCCAACATGGTAGTCGATGCAGAAGAGGTTGATAATTACAGGCGTATAGAGTAGGAATGTGGTCGGGCGTGTGTGTGTGTGTGTGTGTGTGTGTGTGTGTGTGTGTGTGTGTGTGTCCAAAACACAGGCCTCGGATTCAGCTACAACCGATGCCAGCTGGACCGGTTTGGCACGTACACAAAGACACCCCCACACACACAAAGTACAGGAAATTACCGCCACAGATGTGCGCTTTCCCTCTCTCACACATGTAAATATGTAGAATACACTACGTATTTATATTTATACCTTACTGGAGCTCCCCCATCCACACCCACACACACACACACACACACCACGACACGCAGCAATGCTGGAGTACGTTTACCAAAAACCCAGAGCCAACAGTCCCCCAACGGTTGTGTCCAAAAACATGAACCAAAGCAGCAAAAATGTAAAAAATAATAATTTAATTGAAATAGATCATGTTAGATTGACACATATCTATATAATCTCTCTATATATTTTCATTTATGTATAAATATACATACAACCAAAGCACTGTTTCATTAAAATGAACCAAAGCACCTAAAAGTGTAAAAATATCTATTTAATTTAAATAAATTGTTAGATTGATATACATAAATCTATATATGTAGATATGTATCTATATACATATAACCAAACCATTGGTTCATTAAAATGAAACAAAGCAGTTAAAAATGTTAAAAAATATGCATCTATTTAATTCAAATAAACACACACACACAACAAAAGCATTGGTTCAAATGAACCAAAGCCATTAAAAGTGTAAACATATAATTGTAATAAATCATTTTAAATAAAAAAAGCAATATTTCTGGTACTGAAAATTTTGATTTTAATACCTTTTCATTGAGATTTCATTGTAAATGTTGCTAATTTTTACAAAAAACGCCTGCAGTGAAGACGACAGAAACCATTAAACGGACGTCTGAGCTGGTGTTCCTGGAGGAGTGGAGGCCCGGTCCAGGCTGGACGGGCCGGTTCTGGCAGCGGCTCCATCCCGTCTGGCACAGCCGCCTTAAATAAAAACAGCCATCGCCAAGCAGCGCTGCGTTTATGTAAAAATACCTGGAGTACACATGTGCAGGCGGCGAAAACACCCAGGGGAAACCATAAACACATCGTCTGAGCAGGAGATGCACTGATCCGTCTGGGATTCTCCAAGCTCCATAAAAATATGTTTTTTATTGTTTTTATTTCATTTGAGGAGATTTTTTTATTTCTTTGTGGTC